GTCAGCTGCCTTCCGGGATGTCAGGGTTTACCCTGAAGCTCTGGGAGTATCAGCTGGAACTAAGGCTTGCTTGAAAACCAAACCATACTATTTTCACATTGGTTTGTGCAGGTTTTGGTGTGGTTTTTTTTAAAGACCTTTTTATAATAATTTTTTGGGCTAACTCTGGCCAGGTTAGACTTCCTGGATGCACAGACATTTATTCACCTTTGGATTTCTATTGTCTGGAGAAATTCAGTTCATGTCATAGCTCACCTCCTTCACTGTTGCTTACAAGAGCAAGGAAGCCATGGGATGGTGTGACAGGACTAATGCTGGGCAAGGCTTAAGGACTGGCACACATCAGGTTTAAGGATGACAGAAATACAAAGGCAGTCCAGCTAACCTGCCCCTCACTGTAGATATGGCAGCAGAACATCACTGCCTGAGGCAAGAGAGGCAGAAAGAACGAACTTTAAACCTCCTGGGGAGCATGCTGATGGAAAAGTTTGAGACACTGGACTCAGGGCTGTGGCACTGTGGTACAGCTGGCTGATATAAAACCAGGAATAAGAACAGGGGATCCCCAAGTCCTTCCAAGCTAATATTTGACATGCCAAGCTTCAAGAACAAATGATGTCCTCTAGCTCTCCAGCATGGAGCATGCTGCCAGACAGGAATAGACTGTTAACATCTCATCCACTGGGACTTGCCAATTCCGCCTGATTAGAGTGAAGGCTGACGGATATTCCATGGAATGAATGACAGTTCAGTAGGAAAGGACTGACTGAACAGTTGTATGTGACTTCACTCATCTGCTTACAGCCTATCACTTATCATTATAGTATTCAGAAGTCTCCCTAGAAGGGTTCCCATACACTCATTGATATGAAAACTTAAAAAAAGTAATGAAGGTATTTACCGTGTAGAATTACTGTTATTTTTATCTTTTACTGGCTCTTTAACACACAAACAGCTGCAAAGGTGCTAAATTTTGTGGTAAGACTGAAATAGCAAAATTCATTTGGTTGACAGTGGGAAGAAAACAGCGTCTTGCAGGTCATTATTAAAAGATATGACTATGGAAGTGAATGGAAGAACTAAATTACATTGCTGTATAAATAGAGATCACGTATTCTACATAGTCACGTAATGATGTATATACAATAAAGATGGCATGATTTTAGTGTAATATACTCAGCTAGAGATAATATGTGCTCATCTGGTTGAATCAGTGTAAGACCCCTGCTTGACTCCCCCCCTGACCACCGTTGTTGCCAAAGTACATAGTGATTAATGTGCCCTTCAGCAAATGAGATCGGCTCTGTCTGATTGTATTAGTTCCTGTTCATTGGAGTAACTGAGCATCAATCACGTTCTAATCAGAGCTCACGTACATTGATTTTTTTGTAAACAGCCTCACCATCAGGTTCTATCATAGCCCAGATTAACTCCTCAGTAATGACAAAAAATAATAAAGGATTTTCACCTAAATAATAAACACGTTTTAATTTTTAACAGCAATCCTGTCACTTCAGATTGTCATTGTAGCTTTAAAGTCCCCAAAGATAAAATTAACATGTTAAAAACTGTAGTTATTAGTTATGTAGATATGTGTACACATATATGTGCAGTATACTGTCACATACTGCAGCATCTCTTAAGAGTACCTTTTTTATTAAGTATTGCTTACCCTCAGCAGTAGTCCTTTTAAGAAAACATACATGCCAAGAGGATCAAATTGAGTGACCTTGCTGTCCAAATTAACTGTTCTTTAAGAGTTACTGGTAGCCAAATATAATTTAACACCCACAAAAAATACCATCCTTGTAGTGTGTAGCAAAACAATACAATACTTATCATACACAGAAGCATGAAGCTCAGATGTTCCTCAAAAGATTCACATCAGTGCTGATATATTTGACTCTTAGAAAGAAACAACTAAATTAAAGAGAACCCTTATCTTTTGTCAAATATTGCCAGCTACTCTACTCAACAGTTTCTTACAATCAAGAGCAGCGTATTGTGTTCAGTGACGGATTTGGTAATTGTGCACGACTACTAACGCGTCAGTGTCTTGGCAGTACAATAAATGAAGCCCTCACAATCTAATGTTCCCACTTAATAATTACTCACTGCATTGATCTTTCTGATCTGTCAAGTAGGAACAAAAATATTACGCTTACTTTAAATCCTTATATTGAATAATACTTCTATTATTACCAGGCAACTATCCAGAGACAGGTCTTACAGCACTAATGAGGACGGGAGCACTTCATTTGACTACAGGGGTCTGAGTCTGGGAACAAGTGACCATCCTCTACAATGCACTGGGAATTCCCATCAAAGATAAGTGAAGTGGTTTGAAAGGATGTGAAAATCCCTGAGTGTTGGGGGCTTCGGGGCTTCAAAGTTTCACAACATCCAAACGATTTGATTGTGCTGTTCTTCTGTGCCAGATTTAGGTGGGGGACAGCACTGTCCATATTTCCAATAAATGCTTTAATTTTGGTATTTCTAGTAAGATCAAATTCAAGCAGTAACCAGTCTGCTGAGATAACCCTCTGCTAAAACACCCATTCATTCACGGGTTTGGGGGGTTCAGAGAAAAGTTAAACATAAAACTTCTGTGGGTCATTCCCCCTTCCTGACCATATCAAAGCCATTTCCACAACAACAGCTGGTGCCCAAGTTGCAGTCATAGCAATCTGGGAAGTATTTTGCCCAGTGTGGTCTACTGAATTCATTTAAAATGACCAGCAGTTCGTATCACAGGGGATACTCAATGCTGAGTTAATCCTTGCCAGAAAACACACTACCCTGGCATGCAGACAACAGAGATCGTGGAAGAATATAGTTTTACTTGCATAATAAATGACACATGGTAAAAGTTTATTTATTAGTAAATAAGAGAGAGGGAGAAGGACTTTTGAGAAGGGCAGGTAGTGATAGGACAAGAGGGAATGGCTTTAAGATAAGAGTAGATTTAGATTAGATATTAGGAAGTTCTTTACTGTGAGGATGGAGAGATGCTGGCACAGGATGTCCAGAAAAGCTGTGGCTGTCCCATCCCTGGCAGTGTTCAAGGCCAGGTTGGACGGGGCTTGGAGCAACCTGGTCTAGTGGAAGGTGTCCTTACCTGTGGCAGGGGGTTGGAACTGGATGAGCTTTAAGGTCCCTTCCAACCCAAACCAGTCTATGATTCTACAAACACAGAATCTCTCCATTGGGCAGGTGCAGGAACTGAGCAAAGGAAAGCAGCCCAAAGGGAAGATGCCCCTTACACAGGGTACAGCGTTAGACTTAGTCTGCATTTGTGGAACACAGGACTGGAAGAGACCTTGCTCTGAACTTCCAGGTTCAGACACTTGCATTTTAAGCAATGTCTCATATAACTGCTTTCACAAATTTCCTGAGCACCTTCATCAAAACAGTTGTGCTGCTTACAACTCCACTACTCAGGACCAGAAGACTGCTCTACACTGTCACTGTCTGAATAGGTACAAACTACCTCTAATTTCAAGGCTATCATTACCTGTTCTGTAGCTATTCGCTGTTGTGTCATTCACATCTATTTTAGCTAGATCCTCTTCCTCACGATGATATACCTACTAGAAGGAAGTATAATCTTGGCTTCTCTTTTGCTAAGTTGATCAAAAACAAACTCCTGCCCTCTCCTCTCTTTAGAGCAGCTGTCCATTAGTTCCTCCACCTTGGAGATGAGGGACAAGAAATGTGTAACTGCAGTCCATAGGTCTTTGAATAAGACCCTAACATCATGTAGTTCTTTTTCTCTGCTGGATATCCCAGCCTTCCCCATTCAAAGATCATATCTGCCTTTTTCACAGCTGCCCCACACTCTGTTTCATAATCCTTGCCCAGTTCATGGGGGCAGGCCTGCTACAAATACAATGAGATGAACTGGTTTTCCCTTTTCCAAATGAGATGCTAAGTGAGCTGAAGGCACAGTTCCAGGCCGTCAGCATGTGCCAAACCTTTGCCTCTTGGCTCATAGCATTGCTGAGCCAGGAGTCACTGTGTACCATTCAAAATTGGCTCCTGTTCTCTCTTTCACATGCATTTTGTAGACTGCTAATCCCTTCCACAGTCACCTAGCATATGAACATCTCTGTGAGTTGTTTCCAACTGATAACATGAAGGTTTGTGTCTTCTTTTAACTAAAATCTTCACCCTGCATTATACTCTTGGATTTCATCCATTTTTATTATCCCATTCCTCTTGGCTACTCAGTTTTTCCTGTACAATATTCCTACTTCCCAAAGTACTGCCATAATTTGCTAACATTACAGCATTACCACACTGTATCCTAGCTCGCACTCTCTGACTTGCTGTGCCAGTATTTCTCATTAAAATACTCAACAAGGTTTTATGTCCAAGATAAAAACAAGGAGCTCTCCTTCAGTGCACAGGGAAAGGGACTGCTCTGGTGGAGGTAGGTACCAGAAGAAAACTGTCATTTGGCAGCAGTTTGCAGAGAACCAGTGGGTGCTTGTGGCTGCCTTTCCTCGCTCCCCATTTACAGTAAATGAGCTGAATTTCTGAAGCAGCTCATGGGTAAATAGAGGATCACAGAAGCTTCCTCAGTGTGTTGGCGGGGCTGTGCAAGTTGACAGCATTCTTTTAACTTTTGCAGCCCACTTATAATTTTGGTGAAAACAGACAGAATTGGAAGGGTTTTTCCCCCTAAGGCATGAACCAAGACTAACAACGTATACACCATACGTAAGCAGGTCAGAGGTACAACCCCACCAATATCCAAACACCTTTTATCACCTGAACCTGTGAAGATGCAAACTGTTTAGTGGTTTAGTGTGAGGTGTCCCTGCACATGGCAGGGGGGTTGGAACTAGATGGTCTTAAGGTCCTTTCCAACCCAAACTATTCTATGATTCTATGATGTGGAAAATAAACACATGTAACACTTCACTTTCTGATCACTCCCCACTACATGGGCACTCTTTTGGTAAATGAAGACAATGATGGACATAGAGATGAATTACCTGTCTGATCCATTCCATGCACATTCAAACTTGTCAAAGATGCAGTCATTTTCATAGAGGGAACACAACTTGCTCCTAAGGTAATCATGGACCTGTTTCAAAGAAAACAGCTGCTGTTATTCTTGGAATAAAACTAAATATAAAGCTCCACAACCAGCCCCCCACACTCTGCTTTATCTCCCATGTTCACTTTCCAAATATGCTGCACAGATTGGTAGCCTTGCAGAACATGCTGTATTTAAACCCTAAAGAAGCTATCTGTACTTTTCCACAGTCCAATTAACCTGGTGCTACAGGATTATTGTTGCAGGAAGGCACGAAGCATACCTCCCTCAGCAGGCTGCAGACCACCCCTCTTCAACATATTTGCTTCCTGCTTGGGTGATTTTCTCAGTGTTAGCCTAATTCCCAAAGACATTTCACCAGCTGATACCCTGGATGTGCTAATTAATGTGCAAGAAATGTAATTTAAATAGTAACAAAAATGTCATATTCCAAGATAAGCGGAGTTTTACTTGAGGCAGAAAGAACTTGGCTCTCTTAAAAGAACCTGTATGTATGGTATTACATATATTTGGGTAAGGTATTTCAGAAGTCAAATACAGTATATTTGTAGTTGCACAGGCTGCAAAGTAGAACACTAATTTAGCCCAAGGATATCTCCTACTTGGCTGAGACTTAAAAACAACATTGTAAATTCTCACTTATATATATATTTGAAAAGTGGGACTAAGCAGCAGATCTCTCCTCTGGGCCACGCATCTCTGCTGAACAAGAGTTAGAATAAAGAGACAGCTCTCATACAAACTGCTTCAATCCTTTGCTGAATTTGATTAGATTTTCCTTCTGGATGATTGGTTTCATTCCACAAGGAAATAATGAGCTAGAAAATCCCTGCCTAGACGAATTTACTAATGCACTTTCACTCCTGGTGCTTTCTTCTAGCTGTTGTAGGAACTGTAAAACAAAGACCTGTGGATGGCCTCTCAGAGCACACATACCAATCCCATAGCCAAGGGGCATAATTTAGCTCTGACATAGAGAGGTATTGGTTCTTGCAAGTCCAGGGAGACTGCTCCTGCCCATGGATGCTCAGCATCCTTCTCTGGCTTGAGGGCATAAACATTTCTTCTGGTAGCTTCTATCAGAGCAGATGAGGGACAATGACCTTTCACTTACATTTTCTTTAACCCGTTTTCAATAGCCAAATTGCACAGTATCCTAGGAATATTTGTAATGTAAGGTTATTAAGGATTAGAAATTTTAGTTATGGATCAATTTCCATTAATAGATGAGTGAGGACTGACTTGTATATCAACAGATGTCTTCTACAGCAATAATAGGCAAATGGCAGATAATATATTTCACAATTAAATGCATTTACCCTCATGGTGAATAATAGGTCAGAACATTTCAAGCACTGATGCAGTTTCTTGCACCCTCTGTAATTAAATCCTTTCATTTTATCTTTACTTCAAGCCTTGCTATGTTAGCAGTACAATTTCCTTTATCATCTTTGTGAGCTCCAAACCCTTGGAAGTAATAGAAAGGTTGAGTAAGGCAGAAGGAAGTAGTTGCATTTGCCGCACTGATTGTCATTTCTAGGTCTTCTTCTTGTTATCATTTTCAGCAGCCATCTGTCATGACCACTGTCACGTATACACCCTTTGCAAAGTGCATCCAAATCCACAGCTTGGAGCTGTGCCTTTCTATCACTCTGTCAAAAAGCATTTTGCAGTTCCTCCTTCAGATTTCTTACTGATCTCTTCAAGGTCTCAGGTCCTTTTTGTTGACTGACTGTCTGCAGACTTGCACTTCTGCCTTGGACAACCAGCTTCCTTTTCATGTGGACCCTAAGACTGCTGTATTTGAACACATTTAGACCCTCATAGTGACTATAAGAAACTAAGTGGAATAAATAAATTCTCCCCTTGTTTACATGTTCATCTGCCACTACCAATTGAGGGTAAAATCAGATTTGCCTTGTCTGCTACATATAGTCCTTACCACATATGAATAGTACTTGAATGTAAACTAATTCACTCCTAACTGATTACAAAAGACATCCGTTTCTTCACTGCCCTGTTTTAGGTCAGACCTTCATGAAATTATCTAGTAATTCTGTGCTTCAAACTGAGAGAGCAACACAACTACACAGGGAGCTATTTCACTGGAACTGAATAGTCACAATCAGAAATTGCACTGGTGTGACATGTTAGTCCAAATCCCTATGCAACAGACCCTGCTAAAAGCGGATCAAGCCATTATCAGCTATGAATGTGTTCACCTCTGGCTGTTGCTGGTACGGTTCTGCTGGGGTGATTGACCTGGCAGCATCAGAAGAGCATCCTGTTAGGTAGGGCTGCCCTGCAACATTCAAGCACTGACCATTCCACTGTATTGCTCTTTCAGTGCTGTCCAGTGCATCATACATTGCCTTTCTGCTTTCATGTGAAGCAAAACCAGGAGAAAATCATGTTGAATCATTGTCAGCAGACACATTTCAGCAAGGCTGCAACAGCTGCTCTATGCAATAGCATTCTTTTAGCCACAGCAATGGTAAGCAAAAGAACTTGCATGAGGAATTTTTTTTTGTGTTACTAAAATTGTAACCTGATAATGAAGCAGTACAGTTACAAACTTTGCTCTTCCTTACAGCCCTGCGGGGATATCTCCTGTTGTGACCCTCCTCATGAGTCTCACAGCTAAGTGGCTACCATGCAGTGGATGAAATGAGAAATTGAATCTTTTAATGAATATCTTTTACTCTTTTAATGATATACATGCCATCAGGATTATGTGCATGGATAATGGTCGCTTTATCTGTTGCCTTCGGGTGATCTGCCACAACAAACTTTTAGAGAGATTTCCAAGTTTATACAGGAGATTTAGTTACGTGAGAGAGAAATGCCACTAAGACAAATTATTTAAAAGAGTAATTGAGAACCCTTTGCTTAAGAACAGAATTCTCTACTCTCTGCAGCTGAAAACCATGAAAGGCTGCCCAGAGCAGCTGGACTGTGTGAATCCTATGGAGTCCTGTGCTATTGGCTTCCAAAAGCCGATGAGTTCCAGATTCTTTAGCCCACTGTAACACTCAGCAATGCATCTGTGTAGCCTTTACATTCTCAACATGGAGAAACATAACTTTCTAATTGCCACCACTGTTGGATCTCAGACAGATTTAAAGGTGGCCAGCTTGTTTCATAGCTACCTACATGAGGAAATATAAGCAGATGTCAGTCAAGACAAACAGGTTGGCTTGAGCAGCTATTCCTCTCCAGGGATAAGACTGCATACTCCAATCACATACGTATAAAATAATATATTATCTAAGTTCCCCAAATCTGAGCTGTGATTCTGTTATATAAAACACAGTCTCGCCCTTATCTTCCCACTCCATTTTCACAGCATATCAACATTTCTAACACATTTAGCATTACAAGTGCTGCCATTTTCAGAGGAAAACCAATTCTGTAGTCTTAAAGGTATAGAGGCTCAGACTTTCCAACACTTACAGGAGATACACTGAAGAGTATCCACTGAAATGTAATGGGTGTACTAGATAACACTCAGGCCCACTTTGTCTACTGAACACTAGCTGATAAATATCCTCAACATCATTGATGTAAAATTTCAGTTGTTTTGACAAGACATGCTACCAAACTCTCATTACATGTTACTTTAAATCAATTTCAGCTATAATCATTGTGAACTACTGTACCACAAATGCCATTATATAGACAGAGAAAACAAGGGATCGTTCCAGTGCTGTCACAGGACTATGTCTTAGTAAGCCCTACGAGCCAGATGAATGATGTTTTTCCTGCTTTGCATACTCTTCTGTAGGTAGGTTAACATTTTTTCTCATTGTGCTTTCATAACAAGCAGTTTCTGTGTCACAGATACATTTTTCTTCTTCAAAGCAGAGTTAAAAAATGTAAGCGCAGCCTTATATTGCCAAACAGAACAGATGTCAGAGTACAAGCTCAGCTGGCTGGAGCCACTGGCATTTTGTCTGGATAATATCACAATGAATTCAGGCAACCAGATGTGTCTGTCTGGCATTCAGGAACTGCTGTGTCAGTGGTGATGTCAGGGCTGAACTGATTGCTTCTAGAACTAGGCACAAGGGAGAAATGCATAGATGAAGTTTTTAAATGAAGCTCTGAAATGACAAAGGTGTAAACTCTCAGCAGTCCCAGCGGGAGCTGAATGCTAAGAACACACAAAATCCTTTCCTCAGTTACTTTTAAATGTTAATAGTGAAATACATCATTTGAAAACAGATGCCAAAGTGAAGAGACAATTTCTCTTGTTAGAAGCATCATTACCTTCATGAACCCAATCCACAGTGAGTGCTACTCTCACTCCCCAGGCCATACACTTCCTTACTAATGCTGAAATTACCCTTTTCCAACTACAGTGATGCCACTGTGAGGATTTTAACCACAGCTCTCTTAGCTAGTTGCTTCTCAGACCAAGAAATGAGAAGTTTAGGAAAGCATTCCTAAACATCCCAGAAAAATACTGTGTTTTTGAATAGTGACCTGCTTTTATGTTGTTGCATTTTAAGATGTAGGAGATACCTACCTGGTATGTTTCTACGGGCTTCGTTTCCATGTTCAGATCCCAAACTTTGACAGTGAGGTAATCTCTCGTTAGCATGTATCTACCACTGTGACTGAATTTGACATCTGACACTGAAGAGATTATTTCTGAAAAGAATGATCTGTTACTGGGGTCTTCTGGTTCTTCATAAACTGTTGAAAAAAAAAAGAAGCAAGAGAGAAATTAGAATTTTATCAAAAATTGCTCTGTTGTACAACTGAACTGTGCATTTCCTCTGAAACATGTACTTCAATGTACCAAGGAACGTGATACAGAATGACCTATATTCCATATAGATATATGCACTTAGTTTATTCTTTATATAAAAATACAAACTGTAAGCTTTAAGTATTATAATTAACCTTATAACTAGGGGTCCAAAGCATCACTTTGGGAAATGGTGTAAATACAGCAGTTAGTTGACTACAGCTACCTTTAGCAAGGCAGTTCACCTATGGTCATCCTTTCTGGGGTTCGCATGTCCTCTTCCCTGTCTTAACCAAAATTGAGGTGTCCCTGTCACACAAAAGGTGTACATGTGGTCTCACAATAGGGTTGGCATCCCCAGGAAGGGTGGTTACTGAAAGCCTGCCCTGGTTGCCAGAGCCAGCTGGCCAGTCTGCAGGCTGCTCACCAGTCATGTCTCAAGACATCTGAGACTAAACACAACAATTTTGAAAAGCAATTGCAAACTGCAATTACCTCTTCCTGAGAGGTGAGCAGAAAATGGACAGTGATTTGATTTACCATGTGCATACATGGACTGCTTGATGTGCAATTGCTGACAGTTCTGGAAATAACTAACCTCACTGTACATGCTGGTTAGCTGTTCTGTGCACTGCATGATCCAACTAGGACCACAAAATATTGCATACAGTATTTCCATAGAGGGAAATCCAGCTCCTGCAGCTAGGAGATGGTCATTCCTGCTCAACTGTACACAATGATGCTGGATGACTTACATTGAATTGGAGAAACTTGAAACAACTGGTACTAGTGGGCTCTGCTTCATGTGTTACGGGTCCACCAAGGTCTCTCCATGGTCTTCCATTTTGGTCTTCTCCAAAATGCCTGCACTAACTCTAACCCTGCCTACAAGGTGCCTACAGCAAGTCTGTTGTCTTTCTGCAGGTATCTGTGGCCATGTGATCCAAATGATCTCTAAGGTGAACTTTCTGCTGAAGTCAGGCTTTCAGGATGTTTCAATTCTCACCAAAATCAGTGGGGTTTCGGCAGCTATGTCTAGAATATTCTTTGAAAATTGGCTATTTGGAGTGTCATTTTCAGGTCTCAAAAGCAGGTGAAGAAAAGCCATGCGATGAGACGTGAAAACACGCTGAAAGTAGAACAACTTCTTACTGTCAGTCAAAACAAAGGTTGTTTTGTAGTCCAATGGAACATTTCTCTCTCAACTAATTTATCCATGACTATGATTCAGCCTGTTGAAAGCAACAAGGTTACGGTTTCCATCAGGTGAAATAATATTCTGCTGAAAGTTAGGGGTGAGCATGTGGGCGAAATATGTGGGGTAATGCAAAAAATGATGGGCAATTTTCTTTGGGGGTGGGCAGTGGAACACAGCCAGGCGTGCACATGAGAATGAGGTCTATATTTGAACATGTACCACACATCAACATGGTAACGAACTACTTCAAAAAGGGGGAAAAACTTTTCTTTTCAGACAGGCTGTAAACGAATAACTTTAAATAGCTCTGTAAAAATTTGCCTAGACATTGTGCAAAGCAGGTATTTTGTAATTATCCTGTCAGGTTTTCAATAGAAGCCTGACGAGCACAAAGCAATTATCATTTCTCATACCTCTTCCCTTTAATCTGTCCAAACTCTGTACTTGGCTGGCAGGAATTTAATCCTCCTAATTATGATGTGAAGTTGCTATTAAAACCAGGAAAGAAAAAAATAACCAACTACACACTAACTGAACTACACCTTCATTTATAGCTGAGACATATTTTCTTGGCTCTGTGTGTCTCGTCCAACTGATTAGGAGTAATATTTGCACCTGGATACTCTGTATTTTATTAATTAATGAGATTAAACCATTTCATCCTTTATCTGCACTGTTTATTGCTTTTCTATTCTTACCACAGTAAGTATTAGAAAGACTTAGATTAATTAATTTCAGAAACTAATGCAGGCATGAAAGCCTTGTATCATTACAGAAAGAAAGATAGTAGAAATTTTAGTAGCAGCTATTCTTTGCAGATAGTTCCTATAGTCAGCGTAACCAAGCCAAGAAAATTGTTACAGGAAATTAAGCAGCAGCTCCCAATGTTACAGAGAAAGCTTAGCAAGCAGCAGCAGATGCCTGAGCAACCAGAACAAGGCACTGGCCTCAGTAAACGAGATACGGTGTTCTTGGATCTTGGCTATTTCTGGTTTAGAATTGATGTAAGGTTATGCATACACTGCAAAAAAGCATAATCTGCATTCAATTTGGCTACTGCAGGTTGAGTAATTGGAGACAGAATAGCAGTGACAGCACATGACTTGGACTTCAGTTCAGGCAAGCAATTTAAATTCAATCCTGGCTTCCTCAAGCTGATAGAAGAAAACATAGTGCTTGCCTACTGTTTGCAAAGCCAGGCTTACCAGCCTGCACTGGAACACACTTTCTGTTCACTACAGTTTAGACTTATCTTCTGGAAGCTGCTTTTATTCCAGGGGCAATCTGCACCCAAAACACCAACCTTCAAATCTAGCATACTTTTCTGTACTTAAATAAATCTTGTTAGACCAGGACTCGGAATCAGAGCTTTACTGAAATTTGATTACAAATTTTATTATACTCTTTGAATAACTTTATTAACTTCTTAATAACTAACTTTTGCCATAAAAAGGGTATTTAACTTTCATTAATATTGTTCTTGATGACCTTCACTGTGCTAATTATACGAAAGACACTAAGCTACCTGCCTAGTTGCAAACTAATGAACATAGGAAGCACAGATGGTGTGGTCTGCTGAGCTTTAACATGATACTGCTCAGACTTAAATATGACCCTCATGACAGGACTGTGGAATAGAGAAATACCATGGGGATTATGGATGGAAGCTGAGCATATCTCTGAGTAAAGCCAGTGTTGGAGAGCAGCCTCCAAGGAAGGCACCAATCCTGCCCCTTACTCCACTGGCAGATACATGGGTAAGCTGGGAAGTCTGCTTAGGGCTCCCATCAAGCTTATGTTGCACTCTGGGTGCTGCCATTGCAACTTCCCATTTATTTTGATATGGGACTGATTCCACAAACTTGAAAGCTGTACATTTTGGACAAGACATATCCAATGAAAAAAATCCAAACAACAAACTAATCTTCAATTCTCAACAAGAACTAATGGCTGACAAAAACTACTGCTACGCATGTGAACGTAACTTTTTTTACACATCTTGGTTTTTTAGTTTTAAATTAATTGCAAAAAATGTGATACTTTGAAATCCCACTGTAAAGGCCTGAAGAGAGACCAGGCAGTCACTGATAGTATCTTCCTCTTCAGCTTCGCCAGCTACCTTTGACTGCAGTACAATATTCCATTTTCCCCTAATGCGCAACTGAGAAAGAGGGATATCAAACTACCATTATCCCAACAATAGCCAAAAATAACTCAGCCTCAGAAAACATAAACCCCCATGTTCTCATAAAAGGTTTTTCTCTTTCTTTGTCCCATTTCCAAAGATGCATATTTTTGATGGAGTCATTGCTATTCTCCAGACTTCAGCACCACTGAAAATTCGTCTGTAGTTTGCCGAGCAGAGCTTTAATCACTGCAGGGTATAAATTCTGGCATATGTGAACTTTAAAAAATAATAATGCTAAAAATGGCTTATATGGTGGGTGCAGTGTCACAGTCTAATGTGGCATACAAAACTGTATTCCTCCCAAAAGCCATTGCAACAAGAAGTATACATAATTCTCTACATTATACTATAGGTCCCCAGTTAATGCCATAGATGAATTTTTGACATTCCTTCCACCTCCTCCTTTTCCTCTTATTTTCACCTTTTGCCTGGATCAAATAAACACACCAGCACTCAGAGAACTGCTACAAGGCAGATGGTTCCAATATACAAATAGGAAGAATGTTTTTAAATACGCAAAGAAGAATGATCTATTTAAAGGGAAACCAATAACAGTATCTGAGATAATAGGGGGTAGGGTTTAGAAAAGCAATCTATCTAATGTAATGAAAGTTTATCTGGAGCTACTTTTTATTTTCAAGCTGAATTTGATGGGATAAAAGAAATGTGAACTGTACTCAGTTAAACAAATCTTTCATTGCTTTTAAAAGAGAGGAACATAGAGTATAAGCTTTGGCAAAATGTTGTTATCATGGCCTGAGCACTTGAGGATAACTGCAGGTGTTTACTGTGAAATGCTAGTACACAAAACAAAGAGAGAGAACTAGTAAGGGAGAAGACCCTCAATGATAAAGCTGTGTACTCCTTAAGGCATAAAGATATGAACCTTGAAAATTTCAGTTACTGCCAATGAACAGTAGAACAATGGATAAAACCAACTTTCTGCTATTACAAAGCCAAATATATTAAAAAAGAAAAGAAGAATCATGCTGATGTATATTGTAGATTATGTGACTATCTGAGGGTAAACAAAAAAGAAACCAGGGAAAACTTGGAAGATGAAAGTTTATCAGCTCCACAGATTTGGTAAGAAATTCCATCATTCACAGGATAAAATTATAAGCAGCTATAAAAAGTCCTTCCCTATAGCAGAAAAACAACGCTATTTTCTTTCTACTTATGAACAAATAATAACTTACTGAAGCTTTTTTCCTAGATGATACTGTTTGTAGTTTGCATTCCATCCTGAAAACTTCTGGGTTTTAGAGCATTTAAGCATTGTTACTTAGATTGAAATTCTTGGAAAACCTGCACCATGAAATAAATCTCTGTCCTCATCCAAAGACAGTTTGTAGTTAGGCTGAATTTAGGACTTATTACAGATAACCTCTGGGTTACACAGGTACACACACAATAGGTGTATTTCAACTGGACCTGGAAATACTGGACCAAGTAGTCTCTCAGTGGCCTTTAAGCTCCATAAACATAGAAAACAGATGCAGTCTCAAACCAAACAATTCATCATCTAAGTTAAGTCTCTCTTCCATTTCAAATCCCAC